ACATGGGAAGCGGAGGGTTGGCATGGGAGATCTGAGATGTGAACGCCCACTCGGGGCCTGATGGGTAGGTGCCCAGTGAGTGCGGAGGGTCTCAGGGGCCCAGGAAGCCCGACCCTGGCTGGTCGCCCTCTGGAGCCTGCAGTGCTGGTTGCAGGTGCTCAATACGGGTGTGTGAGAGAAAAATCCAGCCTCCTTGTCACATCTTCCCATCCTCCCCTGCTCCATCCCAGCAGCAGGCTGGGGAGCAGGTGGCCTGAGTGTGCCCAGGCGGTGAAGGGACATAGAGAAAGGTACACTTCCACCTCCCAGGTTCCTGAGGAGCCAAGCTGGCTATCCCCCCGCCTGCCTCCTGAGCCCCCTCTCTGCCCTGACTCTACTTTGGAGAGAGTTTCAAAGATGGCTGGGCAAGCCCTGCCACGGGCCAGAACGTTCACACACGTGTCTGCTTTTTCTCCTTGCTCCCACATGGGGAGGTGGTTCTCTGAGCCCCTGGGTTCCACGTCACTGAGCAGGTCATCAGAGTAGGCGTCTATGTCAGAGACAAAGGGGCACACTATTTGAAACCAAGGCCTCAGTCACCTGTGGGCTCACTCACTAGTGCTTTTATTCCCGTTCTGGAGATGAAGACATTGAGCCCCAACAGAGTAAGTAAGTGACGTGTCCAGGGTGATTATGCCTGACTAGTGGCAGGGTCATAGCCACGCAGGGCTTGGCACCTAGTGTGGGGGCCATGATTAGTCCTCATAAAATGGGGTCAGGGCCACAGTCCCATGGAGGCTGGCCCATGGCCACTGCCCAACACTCCCATTCACTGAGAACTACTCCTGGCTCCAGTCCCCAAGATGAATTGCAAAGGTGGACACTGTCCACACCCTGGTACTAACGGAGATGAGAACAAGGTTCCCATTGCAGGCCCGTCTCCTTGGCTGGGCCGGGCCAAGTAGGGAAATGGCAGCATCAACAGCAATTATAGCCCTGAGCACTGTCACCTGCGTTTCTGACCAGGCCCTCATAGGCCCACAGTCATTCAAGAGAGGATCTCAGGGCTCCCAGCTCCCACCTCACTTCATCTTCACAATAACGCTTACGAGGTGGGCACCGTTCCTAGTCCCCTTCCCAGATGAGATAGAGAGGATTTACTAAGTGCTCCGTAAGTGTTCGCTATGATTCATCAAGACGCTTATGGAATTGCTCAGAGAAGAGCTAGACTTTCCTGCCACTCATCCTTGTTCCCCGGGGACAAGTGGCTCCTAAAGCAAAATAACCCCTGGACACCCTCTCTCTAGGTGACACACTCAGAGAGGAGATGACCAGCCCACTCCCCGACCCAGGCAGTGTGAACCTGTCCCACTCAAGGGCTGGCCCAGCACCTCCATCTGCTACCCCTGGGCCCTTGGCTCATCCTGTCCCCGCCCCATGATCAGGCCAGGCAGACAGGGCGGGGTGTGGCGGTCAGGAGTGCTGAGCGACAGGCCCGATTCTGCCCTCAGCACTTCAGAGGGGGCTGGACTAGGGTGAGGGCTTCTTGATGTAGGGACCCCCTGGGCTTCAGGGGTCCAAGAACCCTCCACAGCAGAATGCAAGGTCTGGGTCAATTGATGGAACCACATTTTTCTGGGGACAGCTTTCATCGCTCCCTCTAAGGGATCTGTAAATCAAAAGAAGTTATGGACCCCCAGACTGGGGGATCGTGAAGGCTCCTTCCATCTCTAGTAGTCTTGGGCTATACGCATTCAAACATAAAGGCCAACTCAGCTGCCACTCCAGGAAATTCTGGTTTCTTGCTTCTTTGACTGCAGCACAAGGCCTGGGGCCCGGTGCCATGCAAGGTCTCTCCTGCCTTGATCTCCCTCACCAGCCCACCAGCTCCCAGAAGGGAGCAGGGCCAGCCCAGGCCTGAGATGGCAGAAGACACCAGGACGCCCCATGGTCGGCCTCGTGAGGCTCATCCCTGTCCACAGCCTCTGTCCTCTGGAAGGCAGGGGCTCAGGGTGTTGGGGACTCCCGGGCCTCGGGCCCACCTCTCCTGCTGCAGCCCTGGAACCTCACCAAGCCGTGCTCCTGCCGGGAGCCTGGTTTTCATTAAATCGGTAAAGAAGTCATTAACAGCCAGCCAAGTCAAGAAGAACCAAAGTTCTGCTGGAAGGCACAAGGAGGGTGAGGAGACCGGGGGCCGGCCCCTGCCCTCCCCGGCTGACCCATGGGGGAGGGGGAGACGGGGAGGCTGGGCTCCTAAGGGTCCAACGACAGCAGCAGTAGAGATGGGGGTGGAGAGTGGGGGCAGTCTTGGCCCAGATAATAAGCAATTGTTAATGTGATCCATATGGATCCTGACTGGCCTCTCTGTTTAACAGGATGATAATGGCAGGGAAAGAATGCTGGTCTGTGGGGAAAGGAAGGGGCAAAGTCCTCCCCAGACTTGGGGGGTGGGGGAGGGTCAGCAACAAGAAGGAGGAGACCCACCCAGGGGTCTCCACCCACCCAGGAGCGCAGAGCTATTTGCTATTTGCCCAAACGTGTCCAGATTCAGTGCTTTACAGGCTGCCCTTACGAAACCCCTTTTATTCCACCAAGAAATATCTACGGGGCACCCACAAGATGCCAAGCCCGGTGCCAGGCCCAGTGCGGGCAGGGAACTCCAGGCCCCACCACTGTCCTGCAGGAGGCAAAGCCTAGTGTGGACACAGCCACAAAGGCTGAAGGGAGGCACAGGTGCAGAGCTGGGGGAGCACGGAGGGAGGAGGAGCCAGTGACAAGAGCTGGGGACTCTGGGGAGGCTGCATGGAGGAAGTGTGGCATCTGAGCTGGGCCTTGAGGAATGAGGAGGTTGGGGAAAGACAAGGACAATGGGGAAGGCATTTGGCTGAGGGGACACCAAGAGCAAAGGCAAAGAGGCGTGAAATTGCGTGGAGGGAGTCTGAGATCTCGCAATAAAGCTGGAGCCCAGGCAGCGAGGGGGGGATTCTTGCTCCATAAAAAGCTGCGGCCATCCCATGGATGACGACGAGGAATGCAGGAAAGGGCCCTGGGAACAACACAGCCAAGCTGCTGCCTCCCCCTGCCCCCTCCAGTCTGTGTACTGGAATTGTCCCCTCAGGGGGTCCTCAGCCCAGCTCAGCCCACCCTTACACCACAGCCAGAAAACCCCGCAGGGCCTCGGAGGCGAACCTCATCCGTGTGTTTCTCAGTCCCTTTTTCTTCTCCTGGAGACATCGGGGTCCCCCTAAGGAATGGGGGTTATCTGGGCTTCACCAGGAGCCACTCCACTGCCCCAATCCCTTTGCCCCAAGAGGACTTTGCCCCAGAAAATGCCCCAGCGAGGGCATGAAGGTCGCTCCTTACAGGGGTGGCTGCTACGGACACCAATGGAATCAAGTGGAAATAAACGAAATGGCGTTAAATGTGGGAAAGGGGGATTTACGAGGCCTGTCACCCGCTCGGGCACGGCCGGCCAGCAAGCCCCGCCCCTTTCTCGCCCACCCCAGGAAGTCCCGCTCCGCCCCCTGCCCCGCAGCCCGCGGGCGCCGGGTCCCCGCGCGGCGGCACCCAGGCGCCCGGCGCGTCCGTCCTGGGCGGGCGCAGGCTCCGCGGAGACCGGCGCGTGCTCCGGCTAGGGGTCGGGGAGCGAAGCCCAGCCCGGCCGGTCCAGGAGGCACGGGGCTTTCGGGGTGGAGTCTGGAAGGGTCTGGAGCTCCCTCCGCAAGGTCAGAGTTCTTTGGACCACGGCACCCCCGGGTCCACTCCAAAGACGCCACAAGGAAGGCTCTGGGGACCGAGAAGTCCCCCTCCCCGCGGAAGCCCAGAGTGGGTTGGAACCGGATCCCCACTGCTCGCTGCCTGGCCCAGGGCAGGAGCCCGCTCGGCCGCGGCAGCCCGTGCGGACGACAACACAAACATTCTTCCGTCCTCTATTCTCCTCCAAATTAGGTATCCATGGAGACAGGGCCAGGCAGCCTGACAGCCCCACGGCCTAATCCTGATTTAGTGACCGTCCCTTTAACAGCCCACCCACCCGTCCACCCACCCCTGCGCGCCGGGCTGCCGCTGGGCGCAGGCTCCAGGCCGCTCACACGCTCCCCGCGCAGCACCCCCCCAGGCCGCCTCCCTCCGGGAGGGACTCGGGGCCTGGAGGGGCCAGGGAGGGGGGCCTGCATTTGCTGAGCACCTACTGTGTGCCGACCCTCTGCGGAGGACCCTCTACAGAGCGGGTTCCTAGCAAGGGAATTTCTGTGTAGACCAAGAGAGGGCTCTTGGAGTGGGAAGTTTAAGGGGCTCTCTCCAGAGAGCTGGGAGCTCAGAGGGTCTCCCGTGCGGCCTGTAGCCCACGGGTGAAGGTAAGTGCTGCTTCCTGCAGCCCCCTGACTCTGAGATGGGGGCTATGCTCTCCCGGGCCAAAGAGAAGAAAGGACGGGGTGGGCAGCAGGGGCGCAGGGCCCGAGGTGGCCTCAGTCTCCTGTCACTGCCCCGTCACCATGCTGGGGAATCTCCGGGCCAGGAACCCAGCCCCCACCCCCTCCCACACACACAGGGGCCGCTGGACAAAGACCTGACGGAGTGGGAGGGGCCTGCGGGCCGGCCCTCGGGCTCCGGACACAGGATCCTTCTGGGATCCGAACCCACAAATCCTGGCTCCCCAACCCCCAACCCCGCAGGCTCCCCCAGAGCCGGCGGCTCGCTATTGCTGCAGCCTCCGCACCAAAGGGGGCGGCGAAAAGGGTGCCCGTCGGCAGCGGGGAGGGGATCCCCTTCTTTGCCCGCCCCCTCCCCCCGGGAAGTGACCCTCGGCTCCCACGCACCCGCCCGGGTCTCTCGCTGGCCTTGCCCTTCGACCCCCGCCTAGTCGAGGCCCGCGCCCCGCAGCCCCCGCCCTCTCCGGCCCTCGCACTGCCCCGCGCCCGCGGACAAAGCTCCGGACACCCCGACCGAACGGTCACCACCCCCTGACCCCGGGCCGCCCGGGCGCCCCCGTGCCTGCCCCCGCCGGGCCCGCGGTCCCGTACCTCGGCATCCCGGCCGGGTCCTAGGTGAGTGTGCGCGGCCTGGGGGGGCGTCCGGCCCCGGGGCCGGGGCGCGGGCAGGGGGCGACAGGCCGGGGCTGGGGGGCAGCGGCGCTCACCATCCTGGAGCCGCTACTGCTGCGGCTGCTGCGGCCGCCGCGGCCGGGAGCGGGACTGGGCAGTGGGGGTGGCCGGACAAGGGCCGCCCCGGCTCCCCCCGCAGGCAGGACCCCCACCCCCCCCCCCGCCTCCCCTTGCCCGCCCCCAGCGCCCTCCCTCGCAGGCCTTTGCTCCCCTCCCCTTTCCCTGCTCCTCCCCTCCCTGGGCGCCCCTCCCCTCCCCAACTCCCGCCCCCTCTCGGGCCCTCTCCACCCCGGCTCCCTCCCGCCTCCCCCGCCGCGCCCCGCCCCGCCCCCACTCCCCTGGGCCCGCCCGGCCCCTCCTCTCCACGCTCCGGGCCCGGCCCCGCCCTCTCCCTCCCCTAGCTCTAAAATAAATTAGCCACAGAGGGGGAAAAAAGAGCAAATGACCCTTGGTGTGGAGAGTGTCCTTGCGCCACTCTCAGGCCCGCCCCCGCCTCTCCCGGGCCGTCGGAGTGGGAAGTGGGGGTGGGGGTGGGGACCGGGCCGGCCGGTGAGGGTGGGGGCCGGGTCGCCGAGCGGGGAGGTCGGGATTGAGCGGCGGCCCCCGAGCGTGTCCGCGGGGTATGAGCGGCTTCCTGGGTCGGAGGGCAAAGGGGACGGCAGCCGCCCGGCCCGCCCCGTCCGCTAGCCGCCCTAGACCCCTCTCCTGGGACTGCCTCGGCCCCTCGGCCAAAGGCTGATGGACTCTCGCTCTCCTCCCCCGCCCCCCGGTGAACTGAGCACCTACTCGGACCGACCCCCGGGATGCGGAGGGGTGGGACACACACGGCCCAGCAAGTCCACGGCTCTGCCCTAACGCCACTCCGAGTGGGGGCGGGTGCAGGGGAGGAGGGCGAGCCCTGCTCCGCTGAGGGTGGGAATGGGGCCGGCTTCTCTGGAGGGCTTCCCCGAGAAGGCGGCATTCCCGCTGGGCCAAGCAGGATGAATCCCAGACCGGTGTCCGAAGGCGCTCAGTGATTGGTGCACTCATTCAACAGATACAGAGTGAGCGTCTAGGCTGTGCCAAGCATTGGGCTAGGGGCTGGCGACACCTGAGAGAGTCTCAAAGGCACAGCCCTGTCCTGGTGGAGCTCCCAGTCCACGAGTAGACAGAATTCTATCAGAAGCATAGACGCAAGGCTCCAGGGGTGATCCAGGCCCGAAAGGGATCTGCAGGGCCAGCAGCCCACAGCAGAACCCGCTTTGCCCCAGGAGGTTGTAGGAGATGGGGCTGACCTTGGGTTGGAGGGTCCAGACACATTTCTTCCGTCTCAAGTGGAGGAGATGTTGAGCGCTCAGAGGATCCCAAGATTGACTGTGGTCTCACCCAAGGGCAGTACTTGAGGGTCCTGCCGTCAGAGGTGTTTTTGTCCATGTGGGCGCTGCAGCCTCTTTGAATGCCAGCAGGACAAGGTTGTCCCTGCGCCCCTCCCCCCAGCCTGAGGTCAGCGCTCTGTCCTGTGGGCTTTGCAGAATTCTGAACACTCCCCTTCCCTTCTCCTAGGATGCTTCCTCCAGAGGCTCTGGGGTCTCACTGGCCCCCTCTGGAGGCTCTGGGTTCTGACCTCCCAGGGCACCCCTGTAGGTGCACCTCAGGGAAAGGGAAGGGCCAGGCCCTCAGTGGCTCCCATGATTTCCCAACCCACATATGGAAGCAAGACCAGCACCCAAGCAGGTTCTGGAACTCACCAAGGTCCATCTTCTCCACTCCCAGAATCCTCTCTTCCTCTCCACTCCACAGCCCCAGGACCACATCCTGGCACAGGGGAGAGATGTGTCCAGGCCCAGAACGCTAGTGCAGCCCCTTGCTTCAGAATCAGAAAGGCAGGGGCCGGCCGGTGGCATAATGGTTAAAGCATGCTTGCTTTGGCTGCCCGAGTTCACTGGCCTGGATCCCAGGCACAGACCTACACTGCCGGTCAGCCACGCTGTGACAGTGACCCACATACAAAATAGAGGGAGATTGACACAGATGTTAGCTCAGGGTGAATCTTCTTCAAGAAAAAAAAAAATAACATCATTATAAATTCATTAAAAAAATAGACTTTTTTTAAAAAAAATAAAGGCAAGATACAGGGAGCAACAGGCACCACCTTAAGAGATGTCCCTTGCTGAAGAGACAATCGCAGCATAGCAGTGGTAGAAGGAACTTGCTGATATTTCCTTACTTATGGGGCATCTGAGGCCCAGAGAGAAGTGACACACTTGGGGTCACACAGCAAAGCTGGATCTAGAGTCCACTGTACTCTTTCTGCTCCACCTGTCAGGCTCCCCAAATTCAGAAGCAGAGTTAAGGGAGAGGTCAATGTCCACATGAGCTGAGTGACCTCAGACAGTAGGACTAGTCCCAGGAGGCCAAGCCTGGCATCACCAGGGCATTGTGGTTGGGTGTCACTGGGGCCACACTCCACCAGGCTCCAGGGTAGGGGTGGATGACAGGAATGAGGCTGGAGGAAGGAATTCATTCTGTGCTCCCCTGGAGCATGGGTCCAGGTCTTCCTCATCCCCCAGGACCCTCCAGTGCTGGTGGGAAGGATGGGTTAGGCCTCAGGAAAGCCATCCCTGTGAGCCGGTAGGCCGGGTCAGGGTCGCAGGCCCTGGCCGGACTCTGTGAGGGAAGGCTCTGCGTCTTGGAGGTGCTGAATTGGTTCTGATGGGCAAAGTAGCGTGGGTTATGTTCAGGGGTTTAGTTAGCAGGTGGGGGTGATGTTGGGCTCTTCACCCCTCTGCCCCCCATCCTGCGCCAGTGCTCAGGCAATGAAGTGTGGCTCCCCTCCCAAGCTCATTAAAGTCCTGTTAATACATCATCCAGCCTCCTGGGCTGACACATACTCCGTCCTGGCAAATGGCCCTTCATCCTGTCCCTCCGTCTGCCCTTCTGGAGTGGGGGGGGGGGGGGGGGGGTCTGTTCTCCGAAGGCTGCCTGTTGACCCCTCTCCTGGCTGTCCCCAGTCTAGGGATCTGTGCCCTGGGAGGCCCCCGCTGAGGACAGGCGGCAGGCTGGGCTTGTGATCATCCCGGGCTAGGTCAAGTGCCCAGCAATGGATTGGATAATAATAGTGGTGATGACGGCGTATTGCCATCATTCTTTCCTAGTTCTTTTCCTTGTATCACACTGAAGGTGGAGAATCCCGCCCCCCACCCCGCTCCCAGGGGAGGCAGGTGCTCTGCGTGGCTGGGTCGCTGAGTGCCGGTGTGCATGTGGGGTGTGGGGCATGTGTATATGTGCAGGGGTGTGTGACCTGCCTGGTCCAGAGACTTGCAATAAGGTCTTTCTGAAAACATCAAGAAAATAACCTAGCTGGCCCAGGGAGAATCAGCACAGAGGGTTTTGAAAGGAGAGGAGAGTTAGAGGAAAGATGTGGAAGCCAGAGGGGGTGGGAGGGAGGAGCAGGTGGGGGGAGGAGGAAGGAAAGAAAAGGGCCCAGGGAAGGATGGGGGTGGGGGGAGGAAGGGAGAAAGAAATGGAAGAGAGGAAGAGGAAAGGGCGGGGGGACCTCTCTTTGTGGTCCTCTGGATCAGCCACGCAGGAGTCATTAAGAAGCAGGAAAGGAAGGAAATGTGTCGCCACTGGGGAATTGGGGTGCGCGCCCAGAGGACACCACACCCCACCGGCTGCTACACTCCCCCCCTGCTTGCCCTGGGCTCAGGCTGCTCCCCCAACAAAGGGAAACCTTCGCTTTCTGGCTGTTTGGCCTTTAAGGCCCAGTTTCCAGTGCCTCCCCACTCCTACTGTTTGTGTGCTTACGGTCCAATCCCCACCCCACAGCCAGCCAGGGGCTCTTAAGAGCCTCCCTGAGAATTACAAAAAGGTTCCCTTCCTCTGGGCAGACACAGCTCTGCGCCAGACCACACAAGACTTGGGAAGACGCGCTGGAGCTGTTTATCAGTTCCCTCCTTTCTCTCTGGGGCCCAACACTTGGGGACCCTAGTATCCACTTCCCAAATCCTTACCCCACATCTGCGTCTGCCTTTTGGTCTGTGAGCAGAAGCACACCCACTTCACCCTAATCCTGTAGCACAGCTTTTGGGCCAGGACCCCAAACTGCACTGTCATTCCCACATGTACATTTATCATACAGCCTCACAGAACCTCTCACTAAGCACTCACACCGTTTTAATACCTCAGAGTCTCTCCCTGGATCATCAGTTCCCCTAGTCTGCCTGGGGAGCTCCTATTCATCCCTCAGAACCCAACTCAGATATGCCTTCTTCTGTAAAGCCTTCCCTAGCTATCCCCCAGCCCCTACAGAGCTGATAGCTCCTACCCCAGAGCTCTCCGAATCCTTTTATCTAGGTTTCAGGGATTCAGCACAATACCCTGCTTCCTAGAGGAACCGGTCCCTTCCTATACCCTGTCCAATGGCAGAAGACTCCACTCAGGCCTGCCTGGCTCACTCTCTCACACACGCCAGCTCCTCTGGACCCCCACTGGACTTCTCCCTTCCCTAAAGCTTACAGCCCCGGGGCAGAATGGGGAACTGGAAATCCAAGTTGCCCAGAGGTCTCCCTGCCCCCACTCTGCCCTCTCTGGGGCTGGCCTGACAGGAGATTCCCAGCACATCTGGTTGTACTTAAATCATCCAGCGCCCAACTGCCCAGGCATGTTCCCCGCTTTTCTTCCCCCCTGCCATGGCCTCTTCCCCTTCCAAAACCAGCCTCCCAGTTCTCTCCTCAGGGATGCCTTCTCTGATTGGCTCAGCCTCTGCGACTGCAGCACACCCTTGAAACTCCCCCTCTCAGGATCTGGGGTCTGGGCCAGTGTGTACCTCGCATGGTTCAGTGTGGAACCCCATCCTTTCTGAGCTTTGCTCCTGCATAGAAACCCTCCCCCAGGCAGGGAGGGGAGCTGAGCAAGGGCCTCTGCTCTGCACCCTCAGCCTCCAGAGTGGCTGCCTCCAGTTTCCGGGGTGTGCGGTGGGAGTGGTAGTATTCCTGCCTTTTTAAAGCTTTGGTTCAGATCAGACAGAGAGCTCTTCCTGCTGTCAGCCATTCTCCAAAAGCCTTGCTAATATTCAAGAACAAAAGGGAGAGAAATACAGAGAATACCACAAGTACAAAAAGACGCAGGCTACAAAGAACAGATTTGTGA